ATGAAGGAGCTTCAGGGGTTCCAGGCAGAGGGTGAGGCCAAGGACCTAGTGTATTCTGGGAAAAGGAAGGAGTGGATGGGATGGCCAGCTGCAGCACAAACTGCCCAGGGCCCATGTAGGAACAGGTGTCACCTCCGGGCAGCTCCCTGGGCACCACACAAGGGCACAGAGATAGACCAGCTCCTGAGGTGCTGGACTCAGAGACTGGGGAGGTGGCCTCTGCCAAGGACACAGACTACAGGAAGACTGCTGGAGAGAGGGCCCGTGCCTCTGCTTGGTTGACACACCATTGTCCTGATGACAAGCTCATTTCCCTGTGTCACTGTATTAGTCATAGAAGAGTTTATTTGGGCTTACAGGTCCAGAGGGACGTGTCCATCATGACAAGGAAGTAGCCAGCTCGGTGGCCCCTAGAGCAGCAAGCTGAGAGCTCATGAGCAAGCACAAAACAGAAAGAGAACGCAAAGCTGCATGAGCTTTTTAAACTCTCAGGGTCTTCCACAAAGTCACGCCCTCTAAGCCTCCCCAAGCAGTGCAGCATCCAGGGACCAAAGCATTTAAATGCCCAAGAGTGTGGGGGCCATTTCTCATTTAAATCACCACAGTCATTTATGGAGGTCCCCTCAGAAACAGAGGAAGTGGTACAGAGCAAGGGATATCCCAGCTTCTGTCCTGGGTCAGTGCAGGCTGGGTTGGAGCTTCTGCCTGAGCACTCCAGCCATTGTCTGAGTGGCTGTCCTAATCTCTCTGGTCTGTTTTTTGATCACTTGTTATAGTTGGGGGTGTAGATTGATTGATTGAGATTGGCTCTATCTTTGGTAATCCAGGCTGGCTGGAAACTAGCACTTTTCCTCCTGCCTCAGTCTTTCAGGTTCTGCAGGACCAGTGAGCCATCACAACTGGCTCCCACTGGGTCCTCTTTATCTGCCGGATGGAGTGAGGGTGTAATCACCCAACCATGCTCAGCCTTCAGGTAGCAGAGACAGGGCAAAATACTTCCGTGTGCATCGTCACAGGACTGTGAGCAGAGGGCTCACTCTCCTGGCAGGACCAAGGTAAGGTGATTTGAGCATTTGTGTGAATGACCCAGGAATGTCCTGGAAGAAGATAAGGGGTGTTTGATGAGGGTTGAGCAGAGCAGTCAGTCTCAGAGTTTTGGGGTGCTTTCTTGTTCAGTAGAAAATGTACAGTTTGTGGAGAAAGCAAGTACGTGCATGTCAGTTTTTGTTGTTAATGTCTGTAACTTTTTCCATTGAAGAATGGAGCTGTGTACATGGATATATGTTTCAGTTTAAAGATGTCATACATTAGTGGAGATTAGGATGGAGCCTTTCCAGCCTGGAGGAGACCTTTGTCATGCTCACAGGCACTAACCCACCTCCTCCATAAGGTGGCGCCATTCTGACATCGCTTCTCTGCCTGAGCTTGACTGCTTGCTCTGTGAGTCTTGTGCCATCAAATCCATAGGTAGGACTGAAGGGCTGGCTAAGGGGAGGGGTTTGTTTTGTTTCTGTCTCCTACTCAAGTCCAAACAGAAAGCTGAATTGTAGAGGAAGCAACTTTCAAGCAATACCATGGAGGAGAAGAGAGGAATTGGTGGGCCCCTGTGGTAAAAGGCAGTGGTCATGTCTTCCTAAGTGACACTTTTGATGGAGCACAGCACATAGTGTCCGGAATCCCACCAAGTGAGAGACTACTGAATCTCAATAATAAAAAAATAAAGCTGATTCTTTCGGGCTTGGCTGTTTGTATGTTGGATGCATAGCACATTAAATAAGACATTTGCGGAACAGTGTATTTGTTGAATGATCAAGGTACTAGCAACACAGAGAGGATGACATCCCCCAGCCAGCGGAGTCTGGAGTTGTATCTTTGAACCTACCGGCACATAGCGTATTTCAAGTTTCGCCGATAATTACAGTTTGAAAGGGGCAGGGCCTGCTTCCTGTCCCTGGTGGCCATCCCTTAGAGCAGAGGTTAGAGAAGGGCCACTGCTCACATGTTGGGGTCAAGGCCCCTGTGGATCTGCCGGACTTCCACACAGTCCCATGATTGGTGGCCATGATCCTGTAATAAATAGTACAGTCCCTTCCTGATTGGAGCTGTCACTATACTTTCTACTCACCTAGAGACATTTTTAGGAAAGTCTATAACCAAGGCACTCGGGTGTGCTGTTTCCCCCCTGTTACATAAGGCAGGCAGCGGCAGCCGTTAGCGAGAAGTGACTGTAGAGTAAATACGCCTCTTCCCTTAGACGCCAAGGGTGACAAGTTCTGCGACACAGGACGGATTTTCTTCACCTCTCTCTTTCTCACTCTCACCCTTACCCAGAATCCTCTTGTCCTTCATTAAGTAAATTTGCCCCTGTTCTTATCTTTTATCCTATCTTTCCAGAGTTCTCCTGGCACCGTAGAACAAAACGTTGTAAAATCATTTTCTTTCCATTATTGGTGTCTGTGAGTTAGAAGGTCTTAAGAGTAATGAGGAAGCAGGTCAAACATGAGAATCAGTGCAGTAAAAATAAACGCGGTCGTTGTTAGAGGTGTGGGTCTGTGTTTGGGGCCTTAAGGTTGGAAGAGCAGTCTCCCTGGGGACACGGGCTTAGCCGTGGTGTGCAGCCACACTGTGCCACCCATGTGGCTTTGCTGTGAGCTGTTCTTTTTATCGCTGTGTACTTGCCCAATGCCTTCTAAGAAGGACGGTGGGGATCTGCATTTGAAGTTCCATGTAACATACTTGACTCAGTTTACTAAACCTTCCCTTCTAGTGGAAGAACTCCGTGGCAGGTGTCCAGAAAGCGCTTAAGAGTATGGTTTGAGCGTGTCTTGTGCCTCTCCACTAAGTTCCGTAGTTAAGTCGTTGTGGGTCCAGATGGATGGGAACTCAGACTGGGCATAAAGCAAGTTGATCATCTGAACCTCTTTTTGCAAACGATTAGTCACAGGGTATATTAGTTATTTTTCTGAGGCGGAGACAGAAATCATGACAAAAAGAAATTGAGATGGGGACAGTTTGTTTTGATTGACAGTTCCAGAGGGAATAGGGCCATCCTAGCGGGGAAGGCAGAGCAACAGCCAATAGAGACGGCCTGGCAACAGGCTATGGAGACGGCCTGGCAGTCAGGAAGCTGACTGATCACTTTTCCTTAGCACACAGGAAGCAGGAAGAGGGAGAGCAGGAAGTGGAACCGGACTGTACAAACTTCAAGGCTACCCCAGTGACTATTTTCTCCAAAATGGCTCCACCTACTAATGTCACCAGAACCTCCCCAAATAGAATTGCCCACTGGGGACCAAGTTTCAAGCACATGAGCCCACAGGGCCTTTTCACATTCAAGCCGCGGCACTTAGGCAGTTTTGAAATTTGGGTTAATTTGGGTCTTGAACCTCCCTACTCTCTACTTACTTTGCAGTTCTTAGACACTGACCTTAGACTTTATTTTGAGTTCACGTAATGATTTTTTTAAGGTAGTCCAATATACATTTTCAACAGTCCCTGATCAATACACCAATGGCTTTGAAATGACGGAGTACCACGATATTCCTCTGTAATTTAAACATGATTAGCTGATGAAGGTTATGATCAATACATGGAGGGAAGATAAATTAATTGATATCATCCTTTCAGGGTGATGAGAAGCCTTTTGGAGGTGGGCCGTGACTGATGAAGCCTCTGCTTCATCTCTGGGAACCATCTTTTATAGATTGCATTTCCACTTAGTCACATTTAACACTATCATTCATTTGCACGAAAGCCATGAGCTGTGCACACACCAGTTCCTGCTCAAAGTTGTGTTCATTTGGAAGTGAAATTATCTGTGAGCACCTTGTGGCCTCTGTCTCCGTAACTGTTGGTCCTGGAGAGGCAGAGTGCCTCAAATGCAGCAGTGGTATGGGCAGAGCGAGGGCGGGGAGGCTCCAGGCCAACTCCGGTTCCTCCCCCAATACACACCCCCATGCAAGGTACAAACTGCAGCCACTCCCCTGCAGTGACACCCATTGGTGTAAGAGTGGTTTTCTAGTTGTTGACTTCCTTTGTCTTTAAATTCCATATGCTTTATCAGCAAGCCTATTTGCTGAGATAAGTTATGGCTGGTTGAATTTAGATTTGTATCGATTAAGATAAGCTTCCAGTGTAAGTGGTCCTATGTTAGAATTAAAAAAAAAAAAAAAAAAAAAAAAAAAAAAAAAAAAAAGGTCCTTGTTGTAATTATTCTTGCTTGAGTATAATTCTACACAGCCTGAAAAAGTTACAAGTCATTCTTTAGGCAGTGCAAAAAAAAGCTTTCAAATGGAGTTGGTTCAATTTTCCTTATTTGGGGTTACCTTGAATAACTGGAAAACGCTGTTTTACTAGGGTAGCCTATGTGAGGTGGGCATGTGTTCTCGTTGCACATTTAAGTCCCCTTGAGGTGGTCCAAGCAGGCTGGCTGAAGTCCTCAGGGGTCAGGACTGGTCTCTTTTGCATCCTGTCTTACTGATGTGGCTTCCATCCCTGTGTTACCAACGGTCCTGGGTGGCTTCTGGCACCAAAGTCACACATCTGTACATTTCAGAGAGATTAAGCAAAAGAGACAAAGAAGAAGGGGGCAAAGAGCAGCTCTCACCTGGAGACAAGTCCTGAAAGCCCCATGAGCTTTCTGCCTCGTCGCATTGGCCAGGCTTTATGTGTGCTCTGGTCCCATTGGCCAGGGCTTGTGTGTGTGCTAATCCCATTGCTCAGGGCTTGATGTTCTCTCAGCCCATTTACCAGGGCTTGCTTGTGCTCTAGTCCCGTTGGCCAGGGCTTGCTTGCTTATGGACCGTATTCAGCTCCGTAAGCTGGGTATGGGAATTCAGACTCCCTGGGAAATGTCCTGTTTATTCCAGTGGTCAGGGATCCAGATGAAACTTGCTATGGATGCAGGAATGGCAGAAGCCAGGGATCATCAGAGGTCCCTGTGGTTCACCTCATCCGGCCACCAGCCTCACATCGATGTCTCCTGTCTCTGTGTCCACTAGTTGCCCAGAAGATTGTTGCCACGAGGAAGAAGCAGCAGCTGTCCATAGGCCCCTGCAAGTCCTTACCCAACTCTCCAAGCCACTCCTCTGTGTGCTCCGCCCAGGTGTCAGCCGTGCACATCAGCCAGGTACGAAAGGTAGTGCGGGAGGTGAGGCAGCGAGGGAGTGCCACGGCAGACGTGGGCCGGAGACCGGTCACAGCCAGTACCAAAGCTGTTAGCATCTGTTTTTCTCTTTCCAGCTTTGTAAATAACAGCATGTTTGTGTTTGACTTCCCATTTTCCTTCAGAAGCTGTTGTGGCCAAGTGGGCTTTACGGGAGTCAGTCTTTAATGTTCTCTTTGCACACTGCCTGTGTTATAAGGCATGCTGGCATGAGGTGATGCCAGGTGTGTGTAAGAAGTCTTTTTCTGTCCCGCCTGCCAGTTCCCAAATAATGACACGGAGACTTCTTATTAATCATGAAAGTTTGGCCTGTAGCTTAGGCTTGTTTCTAACTAACTCTTATAACTTAAATTAACCCATTTATATTAATCTACATTCTGCCACATGGTATTACCTCTCTTCTATTGTTTATCTCCTGTTTCCTCTCTGTGTCTCCTGGTGTCTCTGTCTTTCTTCTTCCTGGAGTCCTCTCTGTCCCCAGAAGTCCTGCCTAACTACTGGCCATTCAGCTCATTATTAAACCAGTCAGAGCAGTATATCTTCACACAGTGTACAAATAGCCCACAACAGACGTATGCTGCCATCTTGGCTGTGGATTGAAATCGCTGGCTTTGCTCTTGGTTGGTTTATAGGGTGAACAGTAGTTAATAAGTCTTACTGGCTAAGAAATGCACTTACACTTAGATCTGGAAGCCGCTTATAACTCCCACCTCCTTTAGGCCCTGTAGAAGGCCCCCCTAAACAATGTTGCTAAATCATTAACTTGGAAGCAAGGTACTTGTCCCAGGGATCCGCCCAGGCCCTCAGTAAGGAGCGGGTGGCTTGCTGGTCCTCGTGATCAGTCCTCCTTAGGTGAGTGTCCCATTGCTGCTTTTTCCAGACGGCACAGTGAGAAGGTTTTCTTGCGAGTGCTCAGTTTGCCTGCGAAGCCTTGCCTGGTGCACTTACCGCTCGGGCCTGGCATGGGCTAGCCCTGAACACCTTCACGATTGGTGTCTTCGGTGTTGGAGTGATCTAAACTCATTTTAGGCTAGTACTCTGATTTGTGGGATGTCATTTAAGAATGATTGCTTGGTGTTCTGAGTGGCCATTCCTTCTTCATCCCAGGAGGAACAGTGAAGCACCCGTAAGGCCATTTTTAACTACAGTTTTGTTTTTCAGAGGAAGAATAATGGTTGGGTTTTTGGTTTTTTTTTTCAAAGTTCGCTGCGTGTGGTAACTCACACTTCTGGTCTGAGTAGTCTAGAGGCTGAGACAGGACGATTGCTCCAATTCAAGGCCAGCATGAGCTACTTAGTGAGTGTTAGGTCAGCCTGGGCTACAGAGTGAGACTCTGAAGCGGAAAGACATTTTCAAGCTCCATTGTGGAGACCTGAGGTGCTTTTTCTCAGACAAAGCAACACTTACTTCTGGCAACGCTTGGTCTTAGTAAACCGGCCAGGCACAGGGAGTTGACACCTCGTCTCCCCGACACTTCTCTGTCACTTGCTCTTTTCTTGCTGTGACCCTGCTTGGGTGGTTTTTATGCTGCTTCGTTCACAGAACGTTGATTTTGTTGGTTTGTTTGTCTAATTTTTACAGACGAGTAATGGAGGCGGGAGTTTGAGTGACTACTCCTCCTCTGTCCCTTCCACCCCAAGCACCAGCCAGAAGGAGCTTCGGATCGATGTCCCGCCCACTGCCAACACCCCAACGCCTGTCCGGAAGCAGTCCAAGCGCAGGTCCAACCTCTTCACGGTGAGTGTCCGTCCTCAGGACCAGCCTCTCAGTGTCACCCGGCATCTCAGTCACAGGAAGATGTCCGTCCCAGGGTCCAGTGATGTTGCAGAATCCAAACTAAATTGAATGAGAATCACAATGACTCGAGTCTGAGAAAGTTGTGAGAAGAAAAGAAGATTTGAGTCCTGAGCAGAATGGGAATTACCCGGTGGGGACTGAGTGCAAATCCTGAGGAGTTTGTGCACAACCTTCACTCTCCCAGTACTTTCATGGTCTCACACTAAAGGCTTGTGTTACACACGGAGAGGTAGTGAAGGTCTTGGGGGATTCCCATTGCATCTGACCAATCACAGAGAGGCCTTAGCCATCGCCCCTGTCATCTGTGGGGGTCTGAGAACTGACCCCAGGGAAGGGCATGGGATTAAGACTTACCTTTCCTTCAATATTGCAACCCCCGCTCCTCTCTCCAGGGTTTCAAGGGACTCCCTATCATAGGCTTCTCTTGACCAGTGCTCAAAGTCCTCCAGGGAGTGTCCTGGATTGGAAATCTGAGCTTTGATTTAGAAACCCTGAGTCCAGGGTGGGGCTAGGAATGTGCACTTTTACAAGCTCTTTGGGTTGATGGGTACAGATATTATCTGAAGAAGCAAACCTACTGTTTCCTGCCTCTTATGCCCAGCAGACATCACCAATCAATCATGGATGGCTTTGCAGTTAAGCCCAGAGCTATTATGGTATGATTTCAGGAAGTCTTTCTCTCTCTAGCCAGCTCTGTGCAGTGTCTGTGTAAATCATTTGGCCTCTGGTTTTGGTTGGTTCCTACTGACTGAGTCACAAAGAAGTTTCTTATTCCTAGCTTGACCTAAAGGAATAGCTAGAAGTTCATTGTCTGACTTGAAGCCTTCAACTGAAGATGGTCACATGATGCTGTGGGTACTTGCCAGATCTGTGGGTGCCTCACTCTTTTCCATCATTCTTTGTGACCGTTTCTGTTAGAACATTCATGCTCCTGTCTGCTGGTGACAGAGGGTCCCCCTTTGAGCCACCCTGTCCTTTCCTTTGCTAGCTGTATCATGCAGCTCTGACAAACACTGCTGGCCGCTGTTTTACCTTAGACACCTCACTGGACCTCTCTGATCTGGGAGCAGTAGCTATTCTTCAGTGGGGCTGTCAGCTGGGAGCACTCCCCAGAGAGGCAGGGGGTTCTTAGTGATATTATTTGTGGGTTTTTTTTCCACTGCTATTGAAGTCAGGAGCATGGACACCAGTGATAGTCAGCAAACGTAGTTGGTAGGACTGCTGGGTAGGTCTGAAGGGGTCATTTTGGCTTCTGTACATACAAGCAAGTATCTGATATGTTACAGTAGTAACATGTAGCATGGATGTAAGGTTGTGCCTTATAAAATTTTTTCGACACAGCATGAGCAGTCACATTAACAGTTGGTTTCTAGCTGGATGCTCAGAGCAGGACTGTTGGTTAAGAAGGTGCCCCCTCCCCAAAAGGGTGCTCATTCACTTGTGACTCAGTGGGTCCAGAAAAACCAGTTACCAAAGCCACAGCTGGCTTCAGAGGCTTTGGGCTCCAGGAATGTAGTAGTCCAAGAGTGGTGGATGAGAAGTTCTGTATCCCCCACCACCACACTGTTAGGAGTGGCTGTGGAGGCCCAGCCTGTGATTCCTGCCTAGCACCATTCAGTTCACATTACCTTTGTTTTCTACCACATGAAAGAAATATGGAAACCAGGAAATACCACTTTAAACAGAACTATTTGTAAGTCTCGTCTATCCAAAAAAGATCCTGGGGCCTGGATGATTGACAACTCCCATGACCTGGATAATTGATGGCTCACAGAAGGACTCTTAATTTTAAGATCTGAAGAAGAAGAAAAATGGTTTGGCCACTACCTGCTCTTCAGAGCCCTGACTATGCTCAGTGTCTAGGAGGTATGCTGGTGGCTGGAGCTGGCCACACTGAAAGAAAACAGAGGCCAGGAAGCCACAGAGCTACAGGCCTTATTCAAGCTGGTGAGAATGCAGTGATTGGAAATCCCAGTGAATTGCTCGTAACCGCCGGATCTTAGATGCCTCCGGCTGTGTGTCTGCGATGTGCTTGATCTCTTCCTCTTAAGTGTCCGAAGACAGTTTGAGAGTAGAGCATTCGAAAAGTTGAATCCAGCTGCCCAGCTAAGGTGCGTGGAACAGAAGTTTGGGGTCGTACAGGAATCCAGTGCTGCAACAGGTTTGTGTTGTGGTTTAAGGATCAACAAGCTGAAATTCCAGGAAATGGCCGACATGGAGGTTGTTCCCAGGTTTGGCTTTGCGGCTGGGCAGAATGGCGGTGGAGGTGGGTGATGAGCATTTTGAGTTGAAGGACTTGGAAGCATCAACTCCACTAGATGTCAGTGTCATACAAGGAATGAAATGAAGGTGAATTAATTCTGAAATCTAGGCAATTAAGGATCCAGATTTCAGTGGGAAACAGCCTCTTTAAGTATTTCCAGTTTTACAGCCTTCGTATCTGTCGCTATGGGTGACTTTTGACTGACACTGTCAAAGTGTGTATGTGTTTAGACCTGTCAACAGCTGTGCCTGATACAAACCATCTTAGTTTCTGTTCCACAGCCCAGAATGGAGATGTGCAGCTGGTGGGCACCGTCCACTTATCTGTTAGCCCATTCCAAAAGGGCTGGAGGTCAGGTGTAGGCACATAGTTCTCATCCTGCCCCACATATCCTTTAAAGTGGCTTTGTGCCACACAGGGGTAACATCTCCAGCTCTCAGATGTTTTAAATTGCAAACATACAATAAATCCCATGTATTTTATATGAAATTATATAAACTAAATCTCTCCAGTCGTAGCAGGTTATGCATTACTTTGCAGCGGCAATTATGTCTGCCTTACCAATGGGAATTTAAACTGTATCATGTTTTGTTAATTTTTTATGTAAGGCCATTGCCTTGAGAAATGAAACATTAAAAGATGACCCACAGGATGCCTGCTTTAGAAATACAGAATTTTTTACAACAGTTCATTTAGTAGCCTGATTTACATGTAGATGAAATATTTTATTGAATAACATTTTGAAATATATAAGAATTACAGGGGAAAAAAAACCCTACATGTAGTCTCTGTGATAATCACAAGGTTGAGCAGTTTGCAGCCACTGTTTCATGAAGAACACACATCCTCAGTGGAAGTCCAAGCTTCCCCATCCATTCCCCTGCCTCTGTTCCAGGGCTTGCCATTTACCTGAATGGGTGTATATGTGTTGCCTGCATTTGTGGGTGTTAAGCTAGCAAGGCTCCTCAACTTCTGTATGGCATTGCTTTATGTCTTTTCAAGCTTTTAAAGAATTGGGTCTTTACGTGGTGTTTTAAAAGCTTGCTGTGTGGTGTGATGCTGATACCATTAAACAGTTAAGTACACCAGTACCCAAAGATTGCCCAGAACCTGGACCTACTCAGAGAAAAAAGGACAATGAAGTCCATAGTGTAAAGGAATTGACACTTGGTATCTTGTGGAGAACAGGAGCCCTGAAGCCTGGCATGGTGTGTTCCATCTGCTCCTGCCTTCTTGGTTGAAGCTGAGAAAGTAGGTTCTGTTGGATGGGCGGCATTGCCAGACACGCTTCTCTGCCCAGTGTACAAGGGACTCGGTTTATTACGTATAGGGAGCTGAACACTTTTGAAACGAAGTAGATAATCCTTCCCTTCCCTCTGTCTTTGGTGTCTGTGGGGCTCAGCAGTCATTTTGGTGGCCTGAAGTCTCCAGAAGTGCAGTGGGTGTGATAAACTCTGCTTCTGAAGAATACGGCAGGCTGGATTAGCAATGGGTACCAAGGGTTGCCAGCAGCCTCTAGTGAGTAGTTTTGGCAGAGAGGGGAGGACACAGGATACGCACCACTGGCGACTCTGTGAAGTGGGCAGGAACGCAAGGAGTCTTCCCTCGGGATTCGGAGGTTCAGGGTTTCATAGCTAGTGGATTGGGTTGTGGTTTAGTTGTTGGATTCCGGTCTCCCGGAGTCAGCCTGTTGGAAACGGCAAACCTCTGCCCAGAAGCTTGTTGGAGCTCTTTCCTTTAATTGTATGGCACTTTCCACAAAAATGGTATCCTTGTTGGTGGAGTTCCTTTTTTCCAATGTGTATCCTGAGTTTCTGTCTCATTTTTCTCTGACGCTGTGGTTGTGCGAGCGTGGCTCCTGTTTCTTTACATGTTTGGAGCTGTGTGCAGCGACTCCGGCTGCTGCTTCCTGCTTCTGAGGAATCTGGAATTCTGCTCTGAGAACAGCAACTAGGGACAGATGCGCCGCCTCCAGGAAAATGTTCATTTTTTAAAAAATGTTTGTTTTGTTAATTATTCTGCTTAATGGAGAATAATGAAGATGGATTTTCAAATTTAGGTATTTAGAACTGATAAAGTTCCCAAAATGCCCTTTATGCTCTTCATTGATTCAGAATTTCTAAAATGTTGTCGGCTATGGGTCTTGGAACTTAATTTTCCAATTGGAAACCTCATGTGCCCACCTTCCCCAGAACTGATGTGGGGAAAGAACTGGCTGTGTGGGCTCTTGCTATGCGTTACTAGTGGAAGAGTAAAGAAAACTAAAGGGCTTTCTGTAGCATAGCTGCGATCCATGATGAAGGCACAGGGGCATGCGGCACCGAGGAGGCATTTGACAAAAGCGGAAGCCTCTGTAATCAGCTAAGAGTGCGCTTTCTCACGTGCACGGCCACGCGGCAAAATCACCACCTTTGAAGTACCTGCGCCGAGTGATATCGCAGGCACCTTTCTCTGGGTCTTTTGGCAGTAATCCGTTCTGGAATCTTAAGTCAATCCCATCAGCCCTTGCTTGTTTTGTATCTCAGGGCCTTTGCGTTTTTGGATACTGTTTTAGAAGCATCATCTGCTCTATCCCACATCCTTTTGAATCTGAATTTCATTAGCTGCTCCCAGCAGCACCGGACACCACCGAGTCTCTCCGTTTCATATATCATCTCAGATTTGAAAAGCACAGGAAAATGTTTCTCCATTTTCAATATTGCGTGAGTAATGTTCCCATTGAAAAGTAATGGAGTGAAGTTGTCACTTGTCAGCACCGTTATTAAGGAGGACGAGTCTCAGATCTTTCTCTCATAATAAAATAAATCTGTCAGACAATCACCATGCTTACACTTGCTCATGCCAGCAGGAGACGGGACATGGACGGTGGCTGGCGCTCCTGCAGCATTCCCCAAGTGCCCTCCTCCCCACACCTGCCAGCCACCCGGCAGTTCACGTGGCATCAACAATCCGCCCAAGATAACTGGCTCGGGAACCTGGCCAACAGACAGTTGCTCGTTGTGCCCCGAATATTGACATTTTGTCAGAAAGAGATTTTCAGGTTTTGCCTCCTTATCTTTTTGCTGCACGGTAGCCTGCTCCTTTCTAACCATCCAGAAGCAGTGAAAGGAAACGTTGCTTGCCCCTGAAACAGTTCGTGGGGGTGTACCAGTAAGTCAGTCGTCCAGACGTCCATTTAATCCACACGCTTCTGTGCTTGGGCTTCCAGATGACCTTCGAGGGCCTCCTCCTAAGCTGTGCTAACTGCGGCTCTAGAATGTTTTCTCGGTGGGCGTTGCTTTCCTGGATGGTCCATTGGTTTCTAGTAATTGCATTTTGAACTCTTTAAAAAAGAATTAAAAGATAATTTCGCAGTAGAAAAGTCAGGGGGAAAGTTTAGAAAATTCTCTTTGGAATGATGAGTCAGTGCAGAGGAACAGCTGGGGGCGGCGGTTCTGAATCGCGTTGGCGGGAGCTCTGGACGTAGGGGCGAGACCCGTCTGACAGACACAACCCTCGCCCAAATGCTAACTTTACTTTTGCTTGCAGTCTAGGAAAGGGAGCGACCCAGACAAAGAGAAGAAAGGCCTGGAGAGCCGCGCGGACAGCATCGGGAGCGGGCGAGCCATCCCAATTAAACAGGTACACTTGTCCCCTTCCCCGCCTCGCTGGAGACACACCTCGGTGCAGCCTGAGACGATGCCGGCTCGGGCACCAGGGTTTGTTTGATGTGCTCTGTTGATGAATGTAGAAGTCACTCACTTGACATCAATTAGAAGGGGTTCCTGTGAGTATTAAAATGGGATCATTAGAATAAGAAGAGGGAATAGGACAACAGCTCTAATGAAGTGCGCTCTGCCCGCCTGCATATGGAGTGTGTTTCCATGCCGCACTGGCTTCAAAGGCTGCCTTTGTAGCGTGGCTTTGATTGGGCCGCTGGCCGCCAGGCGACAGGGGTAAATCAGCTCGCTGTAGAAGAACCCCTTGTGATCACAGGAATAGCCTGACGTGGCCCTAATTTGCTCTTGCAGACGGACATCTGAACACTGTTTCAGGCTGGTCTGTAACAACGAGGCAATTAGTTGTAATAATCATCGCTGGCATGTCAGCTGTGCGCTCTTGTTTGTAATTTGCTAATGAAGGGATTGTAACTTTGATTAGGTTCAGTTTCATTTAGACCTTATTATACACAGGAACATTTACAGCTGTAATGTGGGGCCTTAATTAAACTTCCCCATTACACAACAGGACTTGAATTCAAGCATTTGTTTTGGCCAATGTTGCTAGCCTGAAATGGGTTTTCATTAGCCCGGAAACCGGCTCCTAAATTGCTTCACGTCTCTAGCAAGACACACTGGAATTCACGTGTGACGTCTTTTGCTGCTTCATTTCCGAAACAATAAGAATAAAGAGTTCAACCCTGCTCAGCGGCTCTGGAAATGTCATCTTTTTTGGTTGATAAAGAAAGCCAATTGATTTAGAGTGTGTTCTGTTTGGGTGGGGGTGGGAAATCTGTGAGCAGGAAATAGCTCTGCCTTCCATGGATGACGCTGGTGGCCCATTCTGTAGCTCTGGTTGATCTAGGGCGTCCATCGCCTTTTCCATAGCTACCATCCAGCCTCACTTGGCCTGTGCGCGTGGGCTCTGAGGGAGAGGCAGTGTTCATGCAGATGTAGCGAGCTTTCCTCAGCCGTGCGGGTTTCACCTGTTTGCAGCTAATGGCTGCAGCCCTCGTGAGAAGCTGGACCATTTCAGATTGAAGATGTGTGAGTTAAAGAGCCATAGATGGCTGAGAAGCCAAGACTACTGCAGTCCCACCCTCCAGCTGCCAGCCAGAGTGGCCTGTGTGCCACATGTACCCTCTGCCCACAAGGCAGTGTGAGCCTTGACCCAAGGGAGCGGGGAGGCCTACAGGCGTTAGTCAGTGCTGTTGTGCCTCTGCACAGGACCCCCCTTACTATACTGGGTGACAGATTTGGGGGCCAGCTTGCAGCACCTCGAAGAAAAATTTTCACCTTCCCTGTGTTTACTAACAAGGCAAGCAGCCTCCCTGGTGATGGGCGGTGTTTTCCTCATAAACAGGTTTATTACTTCTGAGGGCCGCGTACATAGTTGTTTACTCCTGTTGCTTATTTGATTCTAACTGACTCCACACAGAGCCACTGTAATGTAAGATTTCTGTTCAGTGTTACTTCATGTAGGACTGTAAAAATTATTGAGCTGTTATCCTTTCAAAAAGCTGGTGCTGGGACATTGAAGAAGATTGCTACTTCATGTATATCATCTTCCTGGTTCCTGTCCATTCCTGCGTGTGTGTGTGTGTGTGTGTGTGTGTGTGTGTGTGTGTGTGTGTGTGTGTGTATGGGGGGCGGGGAGCTCACTTTCTCAGCAGGAAACTCTTGGGGAGCCAGCCAGGCCCTGATGTAATTGGAGCCTCCCTTAATTTGTTCCCTGCTCATCTTTGGACAGGACTGGCTTCTCAAACCGGATTTTCAGTTTGCCAAGACTGAAGGTGTCAGTGTAAAATGCAGGCTCTGCATTCCCTGGGAAGCCTTGCGCTCTTGGGTGTTCATGATATTCTTGTTGAAATCCAAACCGTGGTTTTCTCATGACTCCTGGGCACAGAGTACTTGGTTTCATCCACTGTGAGGAGCCATGGACTAACTCCTACCAGGGTCTGTTCCCAGCGTCACGTGCTCCCACTGAAGTTGATGCTCAGGCCTCACACCCCTCATGTCTTACCTAGACATTCTGCAGAAAATGTTTCCATCCGTCTGTGATGTTCTGGGTCCCCGGGTCAGGGCCATCCTGCACTTTCTCTGGAGTAAGGTGGAGGTTGTAGGTGGTCTGAATAGTTACAGTGACCTAATGCTGCATACTGTGTATGCTCACATTTTCAAGGCATGTGGACCTTTTGAGAGTAGCTACACTCCTCACTGTCCTCACCCTGCTGTGGTGACCTCTGTATGGAAACAATAGGATTGGGAGGGCGGAGCCTGGAGGGGCAGGACCTGCCTAGAATATTCTAGAAAGTGCACAGGTGGACTTCTTAAATCAATGAACATTTAAATGAGAGCTTGTTATCTATGTGTTTTTTTATGTAGAGTTCCGCTTAACCCTTAGCATTGCAGAGTGGAGCCATTAGGTTATTTTAATTGTAAGTTAAGCAGGATGAACATTCAGGACTAGGTAGCTGGGAAGCCAAGGACCTCATGTCTGTGTTCTTTCCACTACACGGTGACAAAAAGCCTCCAAAGCAAAGTTACAGTTTTAAAGAAGGTTGTTTTTATGTGTGCATGCCTGTGTGCCTGTGTTAGTTTTCTGTGCGCCATGTGCATGCAGGTACTCACAGAGGCCAAAAGGTGGCGTTGGATCCCCTGGAACTGGAGTTACAGGTGGTTGTGAGCCACATGTGGCTGCTAGACACCAAACTTGGGCACTCTGTGAAAACCCTGGGTGGTCTTAACCCCTGAGCCATCTCTTCAGCCCTGAGTTACAGGTGTTAAATCAAACATGGGAACTCTCCTCTCACACAGAAGTATCTTGTGCTGTGTAGAAGAAACAGCTAAGGCTATGCATGTAGCAGTGTGTTACTCCAGGGACGCTGCAGAAATGTGCATCTGTCCTCAGGGGAAATCATTGCTCGTCATTTGCAACTACCCGCTCTGTCCCTCTCCCAAGCAGCAGAGTCCTTGGTCTTCAACGAATCCTGCTTGAGCCCCATCCAGTTGCTGGACTGTTGGCCTCAAGGCAGAGGAGTCACTGCGGAAGCTCCTGTCCTTGAACACTTGGTGTTGGAGTCATTGTACTCTTCTGCCCCTCCACGGGAATTTTGCAAGTGCTTAGAAATCGAGTAAGACGATCTGCATGCCTACAACCTCTCTCGTGGTTGTACAGGTTGCCCTTGTGCATGGGTCCCCTTGTTTACCTTGTAACAGGTAGCTGGCCACGTCACTGTCACCAGTGACTCTATTTCTCTCTTCCCCCAATCAAAGGTTCCTCAAGAGCAGGGAATTGTTTTCTAGGCAATCACTTCATTTCTTCAGGCTCTAGTTCCAACTCCTGTTTTGTCCCGTCTGGGTACCCAGCGTGGATGGATTTAGAGAGTCCTGTTTCTTTTCTTACTAATAAGATAAAGGTCTATTCGAGTAGAAATTAAAAAGCAAAGCAAGAAAAATAAAAGCCAGCGGCCCAGCTCAGCGGCCAGTGGGCTTGTCACGTATTAATTTTTCATCGCTGTGGCAAGTTGTACATACATAATCACTTGATTGCAGTGGGAGTTAGGGAGCTCCTATAGTGTCATTTGCATAAATCTTGTTAAGTCAATGGCAGTTAATGAAGTACAAATGAGCCCGGAGAAGGTGACATGCAAATCGTGGGTGGCAGATGGGAGGTCTGTTTGGGGGACGGCAGCTGTACTCTCTTTTCTTCTTTCTCTTTAGCATTTTTTAATCTCTATATTTGAGTGCAGATACACAGCCCTAAGCCTCCTCCCCTCCCGTGGACTCCCAGCCAGGGCCTAACGCTCATGCTGAGAGTCAGGGACGGCAGGAGCATGCCTCACACACGCGTACACAGGAGTAGGCATGAGGTCACTGTAGCTCGTCAGACTTCCACACTTGAATTTGGGTTTCGGTTGGTGGTGACAAACAAAAACGGGCCTGTGCAGACGTCTCCGAGATTCCAGACGTGAAAATACTGTTTCGCTTAGCTGGCTTCTGTTTGGGGATCTTTTCTTCACTCTTTGTGCAGGCCAGCTGCAGGTAGGTAGGCTCAGGGTCCCCTCCTAAGAGCCTACCATACCCAGAGTGGCTTTGATGTTGAAGTCAGGCCCCAGTGAAGACCCCACCTTGTCAGTGCAGGGTCCCCACAGGCCGGTCTCAGCTTTCCCTGGGGTGTCCTTGCTTGGGGGAGGTTTTGCAAAGCCCTGCAAAACACTGCTTCTGCCTTCTGCTTTTGGAAGCCCTGGGCTTGTTATTTGATTCTTGATTTTGGTATTTTGAGAGGATTTAGACTTCACCAAAGAACCCCAGGGAGGTGCGTGTAGAGAGCCTGAACTCTGAAGCAGGAGGGTGCCACATCTCATCATGCCCACATGATTTCATTCCTTGGGTTTGAAGCAGTTTCCAGCTCTTTGGATCTTCATCCTCCATCTCTACTATGGCTCAGAGGACACATCCCTGCTATTGAGAAAGAACTTGTCTCATGGACTCAAGTCCAGGCGGCCGTTTACTCTCCGATCAGTGGTTACCCTCCCCCTAATATTATCATACTGGCCCCTCCATCTTCACGCTCTGCCCAGAGGGCTTGAGTGTTGGTGTGCTGTGACCTGTCAGTACTGTAGGGGCATTAGTTACTTTTCTTACCACTGTGACAAAGTGTCCCCCAGAAGAACCCCAGGGAAGGAAGCATTGTTGATTCTGGTCATAGCTCCAGGGTGTGGTCCATCATCGTAGCAGGAGTGTGAGGCAGCTGGTCACATTGTGCCCTTAGCAAGCAAAGAGAGACAAAGGCTGGTACTCAGTTCTCTCCTTCCTTTTTCTTACTTCTGGAATCCCGACCCATCAGATGACGTTGCCCACATTCAAGGGGGCTTTTCTTTTCAGTGGGATTACTCCCTAGAAATGCCCTCACAGGACCGC